TGGCCTTACAGTTTGCAGCCCAACTCATCATACACTAAGCTACCAGGGCTCCTTGGATCTTAATCTAGATGGACCCACATTTGGAATTGTTGTTAAGTGTCATCAAGTCAGTTCTGACCCATAGTGACCCTGTATAGGGTTTCTGAGGAGCAGCTATTGAGCTTGAACCGCCAACCTTGAGGATCAAACTGACCTCACAGTCCAGAGCATTAACCCACAGCGCCACACTGGGACTTCCAAAATTTGGAACAGGCACACTTGGTTGAGAGGGCTCTCAAGACATCTGAACTGTGCTCTATGGAACACTAATTACACAGGTTCATTGTATTATGGCTGGGAGTGGTAGCAGGTGACAGGAATCCGGGATCTAATGAGGTCAAGAAACGAGTCATTACATTTAGTTTCTTTAATGTAGAGTTTTTCAGTCTTTAGCGCATTGTTCTATGCCAAGAATCTTCACAAGGGTAGTTGTAGAATACATCATTTCTCAAATTCTTTGTTGTTGTTGTTATTATGTGCTGTGAAGTCGGTTCCAACTCATAGAGACCCTGTACAGGGTTTCCAAGGCTATAAATCTTTATGGGAGCAGAAAGCCTCATCTTTCTCCCGCGGAACAGCTGGTAGTCTTGAACTGCTGACCTTACGATTTGCAGCCTGATTCATAACCACTACGCTACCAGAGTAGACCGTAAAACCTACCTTGGTGAGACAGTCAGACCTAGTGTCCTAAGGAACTATTGAGAGAGGTCCTTTGTAGGCCCTACAAAAGAGGGAGTGGGCAGCACACATAGAAAAGTAACCGTATAAGGGAATATGTTGTGGGTTGATGGTGCAATAATTTTATTCCAGAGCCCAATCTATGATAAGCTTGGAAAGTCATCCTGGATACCAGTGAGAATTTTAACTTATATTTGGGTTCAGATTGACCAGATGGAGCCTGAAGAAGTATATCACCGTGGTTTCCTTTCCAAGGCTCACATAGTCATGTCTGCTGGGAGCAAGCCTGTGAAATAGCTCGAGGACTTTAGCCTTTATTTGTACTGGGGGCGTTAAGTACTTGCTGCTACTTTTTTCAGAATGCATTTATCTCCAGGAAAGCTGGAAATCTTGGTTCTGTCCTCACTGGCTAAGTGTAGGCAAAGTGTGTCTCTGTGTAACTAGCTGAATTGATAAGTTCCCTACTTATTGACCTTGGCTCGTCTGGTGACCCTGGAGTGTGCCTGCCATTGCTGCAGAGACTTCCAAGTTCATCTTAAACAGTCCCCAGACTTCCATGTTGTTAATGAAGATTTGGGAAGTTGTTGGGCTTTCTTGTCACCTCATTGTTGCCTGGCCTCTGCCACATTTACCTGATTTCTGGAATAAAAATTGAAAAACTAACAAGCCAATCCATGTATTTGTTGATCCCTCCTCTGAGTAGGATTTTTCTTGACCAGCATTTAAAAACGACAAGGTGGGTGTTTAACCTTTAAAGGGGAGAAAATCAAGCAAAACTAGAAGAAACTTGCTAATCTTGACATAGCAAACTTTTGGTCAGTGGTAAGTCTAATTTTGCCTGTTGATGCCTATTCTTCTGGAAGCTGAGAATCTTGTTTCAGATCTCTCCACCTGTGCTCTCACTGGGACAGTGCTCCATCCAGGACAGGATGTCCCAGTGGTAGGGTATTTGCTGGGGTCAGAATTGGGGGTATGGATTGAAAGATCCTAACCCCTGACTTTTGGTGGGGACAGGCATTGTGTTTTTCTATGCCTCTAACTGACGTTGTTGGCTCCGTCTTACTCACTCCCCTCAGCAGAGAGACGCTTAGTCCAGACCCTGCCATTTTTGAGTGGTTGGACAAGAAAACCATACATCATTTTCTTGCTTGCCCCATCACATTATGAGTTGCCTCTTTCCTTGGAAACTAGACCAAGGGACGGTTCCTGAGTGATGCAGACAACTAATGTGTTTGGCTGTTAACCAAAAGGTTAGAATTTAAAGTCCACCTAGATATGCCTTGGGAGAAGTCTGCTTCCAAAAAAAAATTAGTCATTGAAAACCCTATGGATCAGAGACATGGTGTAACCAGGAATCAGAATCGATTTGATATCAGCTGATTTTGTTTTTTTCCTTTTAGATTTGGGATTTATTTAAGGAATTGGGCTGGTCAGTGAATGGAGGCTAGCAAGCTTCAGATCTGTCAGGCAGGCAGGCTGGAAACTCGAGCAAGAATCGATGTTGCATTCGTGGGTGTTATATGCATTTGGCAGGCTGGAAACTCAGGCAGGATTTCTGTGCGACAGTTTTGAAGAATTCCTTCTTTTCAGAAAACCTTCATTTTGCTCTCAAGGTTTTTCAGCTGATTAGATGAGCCCACCCCCGTTCTCTAGGATAATATCCTTTACTTAAAGTCCATTGATTATAAATGGTAATCACCTCAACAAAATTCCTCAACAGCAACAGCTAGACTAGTATTTGACAAAACAACAGGACACCATAGCCTAGCCAAATCGACACACAAAATAAACCCCAACCATCATAGGCTCATGGGCCCATGTAACTCACTAGATAGAGTCTGAGGAGATTAAGGAATCCAGGAAGCAGGAACTCTTAATTATTTCTGTTCCTGTCTTTCCTACCAAGGAGCCCTGTTAGAGTAGTGGATTACAAGCTGGACTGCTAACCACCAGGTTAACAGACTGAATCTACCAGTCACTCCGAGGAAGAAAGCTGAGGCTGCCTGCTCCCATAAAGACTTACAGCCTCGACATCCCTCGACAGGGCTGCTATGAGTTATAACCGACTTGGTGTCACACAACAACCACCACCATCTACGTCTACCAGCAGACCCAAACCACTCCCAGCCAGTCAGTTCCAACTCACAGCGACCCTGGGTAGCGTTTCCAAGACTGTGAATCTCTCATCTCTCCCCTAGTGGGATTGAACCACCGTCCTTATGGTAAAGGAAGAAATCACCCAGATCACATGACCACATGGGTCTTTCTAATATTTCCTTCTCTTGTTCTGGTGCCGAGTTACAGATGTGCAATGTGTCCTCCCCACCGTGACCAGACTTTTCTAGGCTGGGGTTCGCTCGCAGTTCCTGCTCCGTTGTGTTTTTTGTTGTTGTCGTTTCCACCGTGTATACCTGACTGGCATATCAAACACCAGCACCACCATCTTCATCATCATCATCCACACACTCACTTATTGATGTCTCAAAGAGTGTTAGGTAGTTTATGCATGTTCTGCCGCCGTCCATTTCTTGTATCAGTATTCTCATATTCTTATATAGAGGATGCTCACAGGACACTAAGTGTTAGGTAGCTCATACAGACCCCACAGTTTGTTCTTGTCATTAGTGCTCATCAGCTCCTGACTCATAGTGATCCCACGTTTAGCAGAACGAGACATTACCCAGTCCTGTTTCATCTTCATTCCTTTGGCATGTTTCAGCCCATTGTTACAGCCGGTGTGTATTCTGAGTGGCTTTCGACCTAGAGACCTTCATCTTTCACCACTATATGGGAAACACCCTATTCTGTTGTGATCCAAAATATTTTCATTGGCTGGTTTATAACGAGTGAGATTGCCAGACCTTTCTTCCTCATCTGTTCAGTGTCACAGCAGCATGCAAACCTTCACTGACAGCCTTGTGGTGACTTTGTATGAAGTGCATTGGAGGAGAACCAAACCCAGGTCTTCCACGTGGAAGGCGAGAATTCTACCACAGAGCCATCACTTTGTTGCTGTTGTTTCAAGTGCTGTTGAGTTGGTTTCGACTCATAGCGATCTGGATAGGGTTTCCAAGGAGCGACTGGTGGGTCTGAACCACCGACCTTGTGGTTTGCAGTCCAGTGCTGATCCTACAGTGCTACACCAGGACTCCCATGATAACTGTTGTTTTTAAGTACCGTCGAGTCAGTTCCAAGACATAGTGACCCTTTATCGGCTTTCTGAGGCTTGTAAATGTTTACATGAACAGAAAGCCTCATCTTTCTCCTGTGGAGCACCTGGTGGGCTCAAACCACTGACCTTATGGTTCACAGCTCAGTGCTTAGCTTACAGAGCCACTACACTTCTGTTATATTATGTTGTGCTTAGCTACTGGAAAGTGTTCTCAGGCCCAGGATGACTTTAAACAAATCTAGTGGGCCCTGAAAAGAGAGAAAGTGTATCCTCAGAGCCATCTAGAGGAGACAAAAACTATTAGTGGTAGTACCGGGTGTGAGGGGCCTCTGATAGTCCTGGGGAGGAAGAAGTGTCAGAAATTGCCTCCATCACTGGGCTCTCAGCCCTATGCCTCCCTCCTCTGTGGCCCTCACTGCAGAGCCCATCCCAAAGCCAGGTTCCTTAAAACACCTGTTAAAACCAGTCTCCAAAGTGGAACAATTTTTTGTACCTTGCTGCACTTATAGAGATCAATGACTCCTTTTAGGTGGACCAGATTTCATGATGTTACAGTTTTGTGCCTCCAGCCAACGTGGGTGACCATTTGACTAACATAAACACATTCTGGCGCCTGCTGGCTGGGCTGGGCGTGTCTTTGTTCTCCCTGCTTGGGTCTCACTCAGTGCTCGAAATGTTACCTCCTGCCTTAGTCACCAAAGGGTTTGGCCTATCACACCAGTGGCCTCCTTAATTTGTAAGCTAGACCAGAGGAGACAGGATTAACCTAGCCACCTTCTAAGTTCAGATAACCTAGAAGTTAACAGAGGACCACTTCTATTGGCATGTTTCTCCCTTAGGATACTTGCACGCGCACACACATATAAATATCAAGTCTTCACCCACTCCCTTTACTCTTCGCTTGGTTAGGGTGTGGTTGGCTCCCTTGCAAATAGAAAATCCACTTTTTGATGGAGAGACCACCTAAATGGAAATGGTTTCATGGCATTGTAAATACCCCACCCCAAGACCCTGCCCTTAAAAAGAGAGCCTGTGCAGAAAGACAACCTTGATGTCCAAAGGAAGATATGGTTGTTCTGACACTAATGTCTGTATGTTTCTGTCCCTGCAGCCTTAGGAAAATCCAAAGGTACAGTATCCTCTGGTAGCTACAAGGCCATGTTCAACCTCTTATAAGCAAGTGAGCTGTGTCTTAGTGAACTCAGCCAGAGGGGGAATGTGCCGTGTTTGGTTGCTTGGCAGACTGTCCCCATCATTAAAATAGAGTGGCCTTTGGAGGTTGTGATGTGGCTACATTTCAGGTCGTTGCTAGTGGTGGAGTTGGGGCAAGCAGGAATCCTGATCCAATCCCACGCTCTGAACCCCAGGCTGAAAACTAAAAAGTCTGTTTAGATGTCTCCTCTTAGACATCCCAGCCTGAAGTGGCTGTGAGTCCGTTAGGTGTTTTAGTGTGATGCTACCCCTGTCTTTGTCCCACCCACTTCAGCCCCCACTTCTCCAAGGCAAGCGTGGAGTCCACACCCAGGGAGCTTGGCGGGTTATCATCCTAAGGCCTGCTGGCTTTTTGGAGGGTTGAATGAAGCCCAGCCTGCCCACCTTGAGCTGCGAGTTTCGTCCTCCTCTCCAAGCCATGAGAGGCCCTTTCTGCTGCTACCTCTGCTGCCCGCCTGCCGGCCCCTGAGCTAGCCCAGATGCTTGGGCAGGCGCTCCTGGGGTCCCACAGCAAAGTGCAGCCCTGAATGCCTCGCTTCCCTGGGCTCAAGAGGGTGCTAAGGCTGTGCTGCTGTGCCCCCCACACCAAGTGCTTCAGTGTTTCTGCTTCATGGGGGGAGGGAGTCAGTCCCCTGTGCGTGTGGGTAAGCATGTGTCTTTGTGTCCCTCACCAGCATGGGCGTGAGGGTCATGGACACATCCTGGGTGGCCCGAAGAGGCTCCTCAGTCGGCAGGAAAGCATCGTGCGCCCCACCCTCCATGCAGCCCCCCGCTCCACCTGCTGAGCTAGCTCCACCGCCTCCATCGCCCCTTTCTGAGCAGCCTCCAGACAGCCCGGCCGCTCCTTCGCTTTCTCCATCTAGCATGGGCCTCCAGCCCTGCGCAGAGCGCGTCAGGTAAGCAAGACCAGCATCGAAGGTGGGTGGGGGGTGGGGGTGGGGGTAGGGGTGTGCTTCACCTGCTCATGGCTTCTTGGACCTGATCATTCTTCTCAATCTTAAACATTCATGTGTCTGGCTTTCTGCATCAAGACATTCCCAGCTCTCAAGCTTCTATCACAGAGAGTCCAGGCTTTCTAAGAATAACATTCCCAAGCAAAAGTAATAATAATAAAATAGATAAGGTGGCAGCTTGCAACAGCAAACAGTGTAGGCAGGCAGTCAGCGTTTTCCCATATGTTCACAATCTCCCTGTTCTCAAATGTACAAGTTCAGTATTTCTCTTTTCTGCTCTTTAGCTGTCAGATTTATACCAGCCATTTTTGCTTCTAAAATGAGCTTGAGTCAGGAGTGGAGGTGACCTTGTTGTGTCTGGTGATCTTTGCAGCATGCTTGGTGGTATTTCCAATGTCGTAGGAGAAGAAAAGCAAAGAAAGAAATCCATTCTACCACTAGTTCAGCAAACAGAGACCAAGGATTTCCCATCCAAAGATGAAGAGAGAGATCTTTGTTCTTAAGCTTCAGTTATCCTAAAACATGTTCTCCCGAGATCTAGGGGAAGGGTGCCCTGCCTAACAGGAGGCCTGGGCAAAGGAAGACTTTCGAAGTGGGAATTGCACAATGAAATATCTTTTTTGTTTCTGTCCTCAAACAATAGTTCAGAGAGTTAGGAAAACTGCTTCTCATCAGACACAGGAGTGCATCTGTTAAGGGACGTGGCCTTCCTCCATGGCCACTGCTGGGGACTGACTGTCAGAAATTTTGCAAAGTTGAACTTTTGAAACCAGTCTTTGCCCAAGCACGCGCACGCACACGCACACACCCGCCCCCCTTCTCATACGCCAGTACCCCACACAAATACAAAAGCTTAAATGAACAGGTTGCAGACTTGTTCTAGCGAGTAGAAGAGATTTTCTCTGTGAACTGAGGAAATGACAGACAGAGAAGACAACAACAGTCAGTTGTGGATGAAGGTTGGCACTCGGTATGCTTGGTGTGTAGCTGCTGGTTCTAACTCAGAATGAGAGGTCCCTGGTCCTGGTGGTGCAGGTCCATGAGGGAGATGCTAAAGGGTCCACCAGTGGAGTCACTAGGAAGGTGTGTGTGTGTGGTGGGATGAAGTATGGACCACACTGCTGGACACTGTCAGAAGGAGGGACACCAAAATGATCCTGAGCCTCACTGCTGTGGGGGTGTTGGGCAGTCCTACACTGCATGGGGAGGGGATGCCAAGGTGGTGTCTTCACTAGGATTGTTGTCATCTGTCACTTACTGCGTCGTCCTCCGCTCTCCCCATCACTGGCCACTGAGGGCATGGGCACCACTGGTGGTCTCCACCACTGGACGGAAGATTGGTTGGCCCACGCGCTGGCTGGCCATGCCCTCAGGGGCATGGCTCCATGAGTAGCTACTCTGGGTGACACCAGCCATAATAATGCCACTGGGGCAAAAAGAATGAAGGGTTGTCCAGAGAGGTGGACAAGGAGAAAATGCACACATCGGAAGGAGACTACTGGAACTGGTCTTTCGTAGCACTCTTACTGACTTCCTCCTGATTTCCCATTTTATTCATGAAACCGTGTCATGTCATATTTGGCACCCTCTAAAAGTGGCCCTTTGAAGATGATTCTCCCCAAGCTCTGAAGGGAGGCCAGAAAGACTGCGGCCTTCCCAAGCCCCTCGAGAAGGCTCCACCACTCGCTGGCTCAGTGAGCTCCCCCTCCTGCGCCTCCTGGGGTCATTGGTTCCCAAGCTTTTCTTTGGGTGTTAGCGCTGTTATTTGCCCTATTGGCTGTTCCTCGTCCCACTTGCGTGCTTCCCAGTACAAACGGGTGTTCTATTGGTTTTTGTTGTTGTTTTTTCTCTGTTTCTGGTCATTCGCAGCCCAGTTGCCTGCTTCCTGTTAAGGGCTCCTCCTCCACTGAGAATGGCAGGCCCTCCCCACCCTAGACTCTACCTTCAGCTCCTTTCCCTTCAGGCCCTGGGCTCTCAGCAGCCAGACTGCCTCCTCGTCCTGCTCAACAACTTGACATGAACTCTCACCCTGAACTCCACTCTCTACCCCCTTGCACCCAGCTCATTGACAAAGAGTTATGAGTCCTTAACTAACCTGTACTCAACTGTACCCTAACTGTGCCTGGTCCATCTAGCACTCCAAATAAAGCACCTTACAGCCACCTCTCCTCATTGGCTCAGCTGCACCTGTGCAGGAGAGAGAGGAACAAGGCTAACTAGATAAATACGTTTCTGGGCTGGGGCAAGTGAACCTTATTAGGAAGGGATGAGTGAGGAGGCACTTGGGTTCCTAGCATCCTTGGATGGATGTCGTGTATTCTCAATAAAACAAGAGAAGTATATTAACCCACAAGAAATCATTTTTTCCTCTCCTTTCTTTTTGAGCTTGTTTGGTTGACTTTCCTGTTTTTAATGGTGGCTGACATGGATGGAAGGGTAGGTAGATATTTAGCATGGATGCCGGGGTACCTCGCTGCCTTGTGTCTGAGAGAGAATAAAAGAAAAGTCTTACCGGACCTGAGTGAGACCTGAGGTTTGGTTTCTGTGTATGTCCTCTTTAAAGGAATGGAGACAGGAATTGTTACTCTCTTGGCCTCTCTGGACGAAATTGTATTTTTTTATTTTTGTTTTTGGAGAATTACTCTGGTATAGTGTAAAACTCATTCTTTGAGATAAAGAAGTTACTAATATCTCAAATCTGAGCTTCCCTTATTTCCCCCGAGTTGGGAATAGCAAATTGCACTTGTATATCAATCTGTGTAGGCAAACGAGGTGCTGATGTTGACTAAGTTTAGGGGTCTTCTTTTGTTCTGTGTGTTTGTGTTTCAGCACTTCTAAAAGCAAAGAACTTTCTCCAGGGTCTGGGCAGAAAGGAAGTCCAGGCTCTAGTCAGGGGCCACCCTGTGCAGGGACGCAACCGGGGACCAGCTCCAGCCAGCCAGCTGCAGACCAGAGTCCTCACACCCTCCGAAAAGGTACGTTGCCTCTGCTTTTCTCAGTAGTGTACTCATATCCCTCAGTTAGCAAAACATTATAGGCCCCTTCCTGTTGTTGTTAAATACTGTCGAGTTGCGTCAGTTCTGACTCATAGCCACCCTATGGCAAGGACCGGACGGTGAGTTTGAACTGTCAACCTTGCGATTCAGACGATCTTGTGGCCCAGTGTATACCCTACAGTGCCATGCCAGGACTCTGTCCTCTAGGGCCACAATCCACTTGATGACAGTGGGTTGGTGTAGCACAATTAGTTTTTATGTTTAGCTGCTAACCTGAAAGTTGATGGTTCCAGCCCACCCAGTAGCACCACAGAAGAAAGACTTGGCAATCTGGTTATGTAACAATAAGAGTCAAGAAAGCCCAATGCAGTGGTTCTACTCCAGGGGCCGCCGTGAGCCAGAATCAACTCAACGGCAGCAGCTGTTAGAAACTGTAAGGTTTTTGGAAAATGTCCTGGGCTGGCATTCCAGCTCTGGGAAGTTAATCCACTCCAAGGAGAATGATTTCTCCAGTATTCCTCAGTTTACTCATTTGGAGAGCAGGCTCTTTATGTGCGTATATAGGACACTGCCAAGACTTCATTGCAAAAGTCATTGTGCAGAGTGGCACAGCTTGTGTTTTCCGTAGACGTAGGCCAAGGCTTCCTCCAAGATCGTTTAGAAAGCTGCATGAGGTCCGTCCGTCTCCTGGGGCCTTGCTTGTGGAAGGTGTGCAGTGGTCAAGAGGATTTGTTTCTACATGAGTCCTGACCTGGGATATAGCTGGTTTGGAAGGCCTGAAATAGAACTGCTACCCCGACCCATGAACCACTCAGGGTAGGCTTGGGCCTGCAGAACCCACAGTAAAAGCCCAGCCATTCTTGATGAAGTACTCCCTAAGGCTAAGCTCTGCGCCCCGCGACGGGCACCAGCTGGGGGCCTAGCCAAACCGTTCAGATTAGTTTTCACCTCATGCATGTCTTTGCCCAGGCTTTCACATGTGAAATATGTGGTTGTTGTTGGTGGGGATGTGCCGTGGAGTCGGTTCCAACTCCCAGTGACCCTGTATAGGGTTTCCGAGACTGTAAATCTCTATGAGAGCAGAAAGCCTCTTCTTTCTCCTACACACCAACTGGTAGATTCACACTGCTGACCTTACATCACCTGACATGCAGCCCACTGCGCTGTCAATGCTCCTGACTGGTTAATCGGTTCTAAATTGAGGCCTTTGAGACTGCTGGAGGACTTTGGTTCCAGCATTTGTTGAATTGTGCTGTGTTCACCTTTTCCACACGTAGGCTTCATGACAGATACCTCTTGAGCCTTCTATTTTCAGGCTCCAGTAGTAATCCCGTTCCCCTAGTCTGTGGTGACTCAGCCCTTTGGTTTTTATAGCTCCCCGTCATTCCTGTGTTGTCATTGTTGGCGGGCATTGCTCAGATCCCCACCCATGGCGACCTCATGTAGAACGAGATGGAACCATTGTGATCCAGAGCACTTTCATTGACTGACTTTTGGAAGTAGATTATCAGGCCTTTCTTCCTATTCCCTCTGAGTCTGGAAGCTCCACTGAAACCTGGCATCACAGCCATGTGCAAGTCCCCCCTAACAAGCAGGTGGTGGCCGCACTAATAAAGAGCATAGACCAGGCATCAAATCCAGGTCCCTCCATGTCAGTTGTTGTTAAGTGCTTTCAAGTCAGTTCTGACTCATAGCGACCCCGTATAGGCTTTCCAAGGAAAGGCTGGTGGGTTTGAACTGCTGACCTTGGAGTTAGCAGTCGAGTACCACTCCTACAGCGCCACCAAGGACTCCTTCCTACTTGCATGGGGAAGCAAGAATTCTACCGCTGAGCTATATCAGTACCCCCTTCATTCCTTATATTTTCTACAGATGCTTTCTGCGCCCTTACTCAGTGCTGAAGAACCCTGGTGGCACAGTAGGTTAGGCCTCAAGGTCAGCAGTTCAAAGCCACCAGCCACTCCAAGGGAGAGAGATGAAGCTATTTGCTCTTGTAAAGATTCAGTCTCGGAAACCCTGAGGTGCATTTATATTCTGTTCTTTTGAGTCATTGAGTCAGAATTGACTCAGTGACAATGGCTTTGGCTTGCTGGGCATAGAGGGGGTAGCCCTATGAGACAGGAAGACACGCTCTTGAACCCCCTCATCAGTCCAGTGCCATGTTCCTGCCCAGTCTGCGTCCTAAGGCCACTGCCAGGCTCACCAACTTGACAGAACTTATAACAACTTTTGCTATTGAGTCAGCTTTGAGTCCTGGCGCCCCGTCTGTGTCAAGAGTAGAACTATGTTCCATACACTGATTTTCACAGCTGCCTTTTTATTTTTAAATGGATTATCAGACTTTTCTTCCAAGGAGGCTCTGGGTGGAGACGAACCCTCAACATCACATTTTTGGTTAGCAGTCGAGCACGTTGACCATTTGTATCAGGGAAGAACTTCAGGTGCCTTTTATACCTAACGTCATTTTAATTAGTACAGTGCTTGGGGGGCAATTCTTCTTCCCATTGTGTAGAAGAGTAAGTTTCCCATTGTGTAGAAGAGGTTTAAGTAAGTTTCCCAGCGCATGCTGCAGATAGGAATCTGAAACCCAGTACTGGACCTTTTCTTATTCACACTGCAGACTGAGGGAGCCAGAGTTGGAGGCTGGAGTGGGGAGAGTCCTGATGCCTCCCTGAGAACTTAAAAGACAGTTTCTTTTAGAAGCAGAGCTCCCCACAGCTATGAGCAGCCCTTTCAAAGAGGTTGCAGCAATAAGGTGCTTGAAAACTGTAGTAGGTCTGTATATGCTTACAGCCAGAGGCTGCAGTTCTGTAGTGAAACAGAAAAGGAGACCTGTGAGGCAGGAAGGCTGCGGAAGGAAAGGTAAAGCAGTGGGGGACACGGTCTCTGCAAATTCCTCCCTCAGTGCTTAAGGCAGGGAGATGGTCTGATGGGACCTTGCCGTCTAGCGCCACCATCTGGCAGATCCTGGTAAAAACTGGCTAAAGAGAGGGTTGTGGAGAGCAGTTGCAGGTGACTTCATGCTCTTTGACAAAGCAACCTTTTCTATAAGCATCCAGGGAAGAGAAGTGAGTTGGGCGGAAGTGTTTGCAGGTGCACCATAAAGGAATGTTTCCTACCCTGAAGACCTTCCCTGGACAGGACTCCATGGTTGCTTTGAACCCTTTTCCTCCTCAGCCATACCCAGCATGACTGAGTCTCTCTTCTCAGGGTACAGCTGTGAAGTCTTGTACCACTTCGAGGTGACAGATGTCATTGGGGTATTAGCCTGCTGCCTGTGGAGGGGCATTGGCTCTCCAGCATGACTGCGTGTGTGTGCACGTATGTGTGTGTGTGAACAGATCATGGCAAGAATCCAGGGAAGGGCACCCGACATTCATTAACAGATGGAAAGACATGAAAACTTGCAGCTCTAGGTCGATTTTTGTCTTTAACCACCATGTTCCTTTATTGCATAATGCAGGGTAGAGTTTACCTTCTCTCAGTGTGACAAGAGATGGAGGTAGTGAAACAGCGACAGGTCACCTTAAGGGTGTGCTAACAAGACACACGGCATGGACGTCATTTAACAACCTGTTTTTCTTTTGTTGTGTCATGTTTTTCTCTTTCAGTTTCAAAGAAGTTGGCACCCATTCCGCCCAAGGTTCCCTTTGGCCAGTCGGGGGCTATGACTGAGCAGCCCGCCACCGGCCAGCCGTCCCCAGTCAGCCTGTCTCCCACCCCTCCGAGCACCCCATCGCCCTACGGACTGAATTACCCTCAAGGGTACTCCTTGGCCTTAGGCCAGCTCTCACCAGCTGCTGCGGCTGTTCCTCTGTCCTCTCCTTCTGTCTTTACAAGCACTTTAACCAAATCGAGGCCCACCCCTAAGCCCCGACAGAGACCCACCCTGCCACCTCCTCAGCCTCCCACGATAAACCTCTCGACCTCTAGTCCTCAGTCTGCGGAACACCCTATGCTAGATGGCATGTCCCCTGGGGAGAGCATGTCCACAGGTAACCAAGCCGCTGGCTCCCTTGCATTTTACTATGAACCTTAGCAGAAATGTGCTGTGTGTGGAGCGGGCTTGCTGGCTTCACTGGGCTCAGACACAAGTGTTTGAATGAGGTGGTTGTGGGGGTAGCTTATGGGATGAGCTCCTTAGCAGCCTGCCAGTAAAGCCAATGGAAAGGAGCCCTCCTGAACCAACTCCTATGAGGGGCTCCTTAGGAGACTTTTCCCCATCTAATGCCCATTAGCCTGAATTCTATGTTTGATCTTAAGCACAGTTAGCAGAAGTTGTGCATTGGTTTGACGTGACACCTCAGCGATCACAAAATAGCTGGTGTCAGAATACAGCGGAAGGAATATATTTGAGGCTTTCCTTGCATAGACCCCATACACCTAAATGGGTACAAATCCTTCGCTTGAGAACAGAGGCCAAGCATCAAAGCCATCTCCCCTGTTAGTAAAAAAATAAAGCTTGCTAGAAAGATACAGTTCTAGCAATTTTGTAATTTTACTAGAAAGTGGTCAGTTTCAGAAAAGACAGGCACACTTCCAAGCCCCTGCCCCCATTTCCTTGGGAAACCAACTGGACAAGATGGACAGTTACTAGGTTAAATTGTTGCTCTAAGTTTCAAAACAGAGAAATGAGTAAGATGAAATCCCAAGCACCGAAGCACATTTAGCAGAAGTCGTGCATTGGTTTGAAGAAAAGGGACGAGGTAAGGTGATCAAGTCAGGGTCACGTTTGTGAGGATTGCTGAAGTCGAATAATGCAGCATTTCTCTCTTGTTCAACGTGTTGGGCTTGTACCTGCAGAAATCCGCCCACTAAGCCACCAGTGTCAGAGCGCCTGTGCACATCTGCTTAACGCTGTCCCATCCATGTCGTAGAACGTGACACGGAGTGCATGTAGGCGCACACACACACACTCACTCCAAAGAACTGGAAAATCAGCTCAAGTCTATGCAGCCTAGATCCAAAGTGCACTGGAATCTCTAGTGGGGATTGTCCCCACCCACCACTCCTCCTGTCTCCATCAGCAACAGAATGAGGCTTGTCTTGAAGCACTGAGCCTTCGGGAGATTGGCTAGTAGAATTTACAAGTGTTTGTGCTAGGTCAGGAGTAGATAGTGTGGATAACCCATTTCTTGGTAAACTGGCTGCTTTCGTCTGGGGTGGGATTAGCACTGTGCTCAGCTCCTGCTGTTTATTCGGAGACATTTTTAAGTGAAGGTACAGCCTTCCTTGGAAAATTGCAGTGTTGGTGCTGAATGGTTTCCCAGGAGCTTGAGAGGAGGGGCCCACAGGTTGGTGGTACCCTCTGACATTTGCCACACAGCAGCTGAAGACAGTTGGCTGAGGTTGCTGCTGTCTCTAGCCTCCTCAAGGCAGGGACATGCAGAAGTGTCATTATCAGAAGCAACTGGGTGAGCCGAGACTGGAGAGGACATTACTCATAGGGAGCTCAGAAAGAGGACAGGAGATAGGTGGGGGGCACGTATTTGAGGGCCAGTCAGTCCACCCTCACCCCCCTGCCCCCAGGCTGTCTGAGAATTGTAGCACTCTCTGTTCCGGCATGCAGGCTCAAGACCTGCTGGCCATTCGAGTTAGCGATGCCCCCTCCATGTGCAGTCCGCTTAGTTCTCATGTTATTTTGGGAGCAGGCTGACCTCTCCCATATGTCCAGGTTTCCGAGCCAGGATAACAACCGTCTGGCTTGGTGTGGCCTGCCTGTGACCGTGAGACTTGGCATCATGTTTTGTTGTGTTCTTGTTTCGCCCTGTGTATTCCTTTCTCCCAATCCTATCATTGTGTTCTTGCAGCTGTGTGAAATGAGTGACGCAGTTTTGGATACATGTGAGGGGCTGTTCAGGGTAAGCTGGCCCCGGCCTCGCCTCGCCGCCTCTCTCTCTCTCTCCTCACGCTAGCTCTCAGGCCAGCTCCAGGCTGCCCGCTCCCTGCTCTCTGCATGGGGCTCCCACCAACCCCAGCTGCTCCGCTGTGCCCTCTTTCCTGTCTCCTTCAGCCTCCGCAGGAACCACATGGCCCTCGAGCTGACTTGGCTTTTTTGGAATCACTGGCTTTTTAATTTTGTTGTTTTGCTTTTCATTAGCAGGAGCTGGGGGAGAAAATTAGCAAATGGGTTGAGCTCTTTTCTTCCCTCAACACATTTTCCTTCACCAGAGTCACCAAGTTTCAGCTCCTTGTTCCCTCTCCCTTTGGTTTAGAACCCGGGTGGCTACCAGATTCTGTTCTTCATAGGACCTATCTGATGGGTAACTTTTGACTGCTGACTGAGGGCTTTTGTGCTCCGTGCTCCAGAAGGGTTCACTTTGCATATCTTTGTTCAGGAAGTGTCCCCGTGGGAGGACATGCTGGTGCAGACAGGCACAGGGGGCCTCTGATCCTCATGACGGCAGCTGCCCGAGTGTGCCCTCACAGAGCCCTGCTCTCAGACTTCAAACTTTAACCTCTGCCTTCCTCTGGGCTGAGAGCTGGCAGATCCTGAGGGAGGACCCATGAGACAGTTCTTACCTAAGGCTTACCTGGTGTGTATGGACAGCTAGGCCCTTCCCATCCAACTCCCTCCTAGAGGTTGGGAGCATCTCTGCCGGCATCTGCCTGGTCTCCTCCTCCTAATTGGAGGGATGGCAGGAGGACAGCAGCACTGACAGACACTCTGGAGCCACCCCAAACGGGAAATCACAGCCGCCCTCTTCCCTTGAGCATCAGTGGCACGGTGCATCTCTCCCTAGATCTAAGGAATTGGGCATGCTTTCATCACTTTCTCGGTGTTGTCCTGTTTAACCTCATCTCCTCCCTGATTTATTCCCATTTGACTGCTTAGGACATCGAGGCACAGGGAGGGTGAGAAACTTAGCAAGATCACAGTCCTCATGCAGAGATGGGGTACTGAGGGGGGGGCATGGTGCAGAGAAGGCTCAAAGGCTCAGACATGCTTTCAGGAATCAGAGTTGCCTGCTTGAGGATGGGCAAGTGGCGTTGGCCAAGCCAGCTGCAAATCCACTGAGGCTCTGCTCATCAGCAAAGCTGAGACAGGCTGGAAAGGCAGTTTGAAGACTACTTTTGGGTGGGAAGAAAAGGGAAGGCACCTTTGTCCCAGAGAATACATTTGTATGTCTGTTATAACAGTGTCCAAGTGTGTGTCTGTGCACTCAAGTAGGGTACTTCTCAGACTAAACATTTGTTCTAAAATAAACCCTCCCAAGGTGGGCCCAGAGCTGTTCCCATTCCCATCCTAGGTCTGCTTCCTCTGTCAACCCTGACAGCTGCCCCGACCTAGACTGACCAGCCAGGCTGAGTGATGGCCAGGAACTAGCTGACCCAGAGGGAAGCAAGGGGTGGTTTGGCTTCTTCACCTTCCAGAGTCTGGTGTAAAGGGGCTGCATCCCCGGCTCCTGTCTGTGTTGTCCAGTGAGGTGTGTCAGAATTCCACAAACTGTCCTTAACAGCCCACAGAAGCCCCAAGTTCCACAGCCACTGCCCCTGGCCACCTCAAGTGCATGCTTTCTGATCATCTGCCCAAGACTAAGGCTCTTTCCATGGTCCCAGTAGAGATAACCAAGAGCTCCTTGTTGGGGGGCCTGGGAGCAAACCATCTGCTACAGCTGTCATCTGGGTCCAAGGGAGACCCAGGGCCACTGCCCATCTGCAGTGCAGACCCTTCCCACTGCCTGTCCCTGTACTAAAGGACATGAAGGCAGCCCTGAAATTCTCAAAATGCTCCCACTGAAATCCCCCCAGAAAGCAGCCTGCCTAACCAGGCTGACCAAGGTTTGAGGTTTAGGGGATGCTTCAATGGACGCTGCTGTGAAAGGTTCCAACCAGCCCCTGTATACTGTCCCTGAACAAGCAGATTGCCTTTGCTTACAGCTGACTGTATTTGCTGCGATGAGCGTCTCTTGCGCTTGACGCCTCTGTTCACCCACCTCTCTCTCTGCCAATTTCCAGATCTTGTCCACTTTGATATCCCCTCTATCCACGTAGAGCTTGGGTCCACGCTCCGCCCGAGCCCCCTGGAGCACATGCGGCGACACTCAGTGACTGAGAAAAGGGACTCTGAGGAGGAGTCCGAGAGCACCGCCCTCTGACACAGCTGCCGGAGGAGCACCAGGAGCGAGCCTGTGCGCGGCTGGCTCCTTGTCAGACACGTGCAACCTCCGGCCCAAGCGGTGCACGGTGGTGGTGGTGGTGGTGATGCGGATTGTGTTTGTTCCTTTCAGGTGGTTACTTGGGCCATTTGTTTGATCTTTGCCTTTTGACTTTGTGCCTCTTTGATCCACTCAGTCTCATGCCAAGCAGCACCCACCTCTCTCCACCTAAGGGACCACTTGTTGGAAAGAGCCTTGCAGGGCAGGGGGTGATTAAGGGCGAGGGGCTGGTTAGACATGGGGGCGGATACCTTTCCTTTGACAGCTCCTGTCTAGCCCTGCATCATCAGCTTCCTGACCCTTTATCTTACAGGGGGAGCTCTGGCCTTCCCGGGGCACTAGCCTTTTCCTGCTGCTTTGGAGGGAAGCAGTCAGTGACAAAACCTCATGGCTGCCCTCCATCAGAGGGCTCAAAAGTTATTGCTTACACCCAAGTATGTTTCACTTCTAATACTTTTGTTTATGTGACCGGAAGTTTATGATTTCCTATTGCTTTCTCTTTCTGGACTTAGAAAGTGATCCTGAGACTGTCATTAGGGCCCAAAGGGAGTCTGGGCCTGCTGAGCATGAGTTTTCAGGCCCCAAAGCTCACTAACTAAGCGCGTGGGGCCAGGAGCCTGGTTGTTTTCTGGAGCAAACAGCAATAATTGTGTTGCCCAGAGCATGTCCACGAGGCAGCCAGCCCAGGGGTACCTGCCCCTCATGGCCCCCGAAGTCCTCTCTGTTAGTGGGAGGGCCCAGGAAGCCTGTTCACTTTGGGGTTAAGGGAGCAAGAACCAGATTTGGGTCATGCATGCAAAATCAAACGTTACAACTTTGTCCTTTTAAAATAGATATTAACATACCTATCCATGATATAATATTTGTATATATGAAATCTATATTTGTTTAATTTGAGCCATTCAATCTAAACTGATGTACAGGTGTACAATGAAAATTTAAATGCTTCGTTATTTTTCCCAACATGGTGTACAGTCACCCTCCTTGGACAGTGAGGTTTGTGAAATTCTGATGTCATAGCTTTGTTTGCTCACTTCCTGGCCAGGGTGGTTAGGTCCCAGTTTGTAATGAGCCCAGGGGTCGAGAGTTCCCTTAAAATACATGTACAAATAGCTGTCAAAAATAATATTATTAAAATAGATTTATTATCCCTGAGCACGGTGCATCTTCTTCCTTTAACAGCAGATGTGGGGACACAGGATCAATCTTAGGGAAGGCCCAGTCTTGGCCGAAGTCTCTGTCTCGTCACCTGTTTTCAAAGCTCTTTCTGCATTCTCCTGGGTAGGAGAAGACACGAATACTAGATGGGTCTTTGAACCCTACCTTAATTCCCAAGTACTTAGTGTTTCTAAGCCCCAGAAGAGCCTCCCGGAAGTAGTAGTACTGGCACTCTCAAGGGCCAACAGTGACTGTTACCAGGGCAGTCGCCATCCTGGTCTTCTTGTCTCACCGGGAGCCAATGGCGAGATGCGTGTCTCCTCAGTCCACTGCGCGCGCGTCACCTGGCACTCCCCCGGGCCTGAGGGAACTGATTTTGGAGCACTAAGCTAGTGAAGGTGGAGGCTCCCGGGCTCCCGTCTGTGCTCAGGGCTGGGCCCTGAGAGCAGGAACTCACTGGCACATGAAGGACCAAGTGAGAGAACGCAGAGTTCCACACGGAGCCTTTATTGTGTCGGGCGTCTTTGCAAATGCTTCCTTGAGTCTTGGTCAGTCAGACTTGGTTTGCACAAAACACCGTTCCCTGACTGGCTTGGCTCTGGAGCGCAGAGGGAAGGCTCCTATTTCCCAGATGACTCGCTAAGTCCACCTGCATGGGAATTCTTCCACTTGTCTTCGCTGAGCAGCCTCGTGCCCTCAGCTTCCCCAGGTCTCAGGTGGGCTCTGGCAGATCCGGCCTTGTCCAGGAGCCCAGCCAGGGCACAGCTTCACCCCCACTACTGCTGAATGTCCTCTGCCTGCCAGCGGGCAAGGAGAGCAGATGCTGGTGCCCACACTGCTTGTGCTGCTCACTCGGTCCTGGCCTTCTTGCTCTCTGGGCTCGGCAGCCCATCTCCGGGAACCCGCTTCTGCGGGGATTCCTTAGCAAGCAGGGCGGCCCGGACCAGCCGCAGCTCCCGCTTTTCCTTGCGTTCCGCCATCTCCTCCAGGTCTCCCGCAAACAGGGCTTTGAGCATGGGGATCAGCTTGGGCACTGTGGAAAAGTCTCCAAAGCAGACCTGGAAGGTGAGGAGGAGGTGGACACCCCCGGCGGGACCGCCCTTTGTGAAGAGGTGCGCTGCCATCCAAGCACCCCCGTCCCCCTCACAAGCTCCAGTTGGCCCACCACAGCTCATAGTCTGTAAGGGGAAGAGCTGGTGCTGTCTCTCCCCCGCTAAGAGGGCCCACACTGGTCCCTGGGAAAGGCAATCGAGCTCTGAAAAACAAACTTGGGCTTAGGCTCTGGCCTGCTTCGGTAAAGGCTGGGGGTGAGCCTGGCTGCCCCACTCAGAGCAGGCACAACCTGCATGTCTGCAGCTGCAATGACTGAGCACACTGGGGCTAGCACGGCCTCCGGGACCCCTAGTGGGCCTGATAGCATAGGGCATACTCCCCCACACCCAGCCACCCTGTGCATGAACACTGCCCACGGCTCTTCCTGACACAGCCAGGACATACAGACCTTCATGTGGTCAAAGGCGATCCCGACTTTCTCATTAAAGTCGGGACTGAAGAGGGGGATCTTGGCGTAGCGCTGGCTGAAGTGGTTGAGCATGACGAAGGCCGCCTTCATCTGCATCCCCACTGCAATAGCCTGGGAAGTTGTGCTGCGGACAGGGATGAGGCTGAAGCCAAGCCCGCGGATGTGCCCTCAGACTCCACTCGGCACCCAGGGTAGGCTGGTGGGTTAGCGCAAACGTTCCCCAGATTAGGCCCACCCATCTCGGGCTGTGAGCCGGGCCACCTGAGATAAAAGCCTGGGGCAGAGACCAGACCCAGCGCCCCTGCCATCCAGGGCCTTCTCTAACTTCTCCCGGCAATTACTTGCCCTGTCCTGTAGTTCATTGATTTCCCATCCTTTCTAAAACCATCACTCACCCTAGAACCTAGACAATCGGCAAACATAAAGATGGCAGCGCTCCATCAGCAAACGGCCTCTGCCCTTGGCTAGAAGGCAAGCCTGCCAGCTTTTGTTGGCGGGCATAATCCTTCCCAAAGGGCCAATGGAAGAAGGCTCCTCAAAGTTGCGTGTGGCAGAAGTGGGTAAGGGCTGGGGGCCGTGGGTGAGCATGGAACAAGAGGGCCTTTCTTACCTGTGTGTCTTTTCCACTGCCTCCTCCTCTAAGCCGTCTTCCAATGTGGCTTCATGTATGAGAAGGGTGGCATCTTTCCCTGGACAAGAAACACAGGCATCAGAACACGGTCCTGTGCATGGTAAACACACAGCAGTCTCCTGCTGCAAACACTGGGGTCCCCGTGTCTGTGACTTATCTGGGGACCCTCATCTGCTGCCTCTGTAGCTACACAAACCCCACATCAACTTTTACTTACCCATCTGGACCAAGGCATCACAGGGCATGGTGTCTCCCGAATAGACCACTTTCCAGCCGGACGTGTGCAGCAGCGCACAGCCGAAAGCATGCTTGCAGTGCCGGACCAGGCAGGTCTGGAACTAGAGGGGCGGGGTGAAGGCTCCGTGGCTCTGCCCCCACATCGCCCGCCTCAGGAACCATGTGCCCGCCTTTACCTCTTTCAAGTCACATGCTACCAACAGCAAGCTGATCAGTCTTTCAACCATCGGATTGGAGACCTCAGCCCCTTTCTGAAGGCATTTGGCGGGAATCAAACTGGGAGAAGATGAAACATTTAAAAAACATTTACCATCTGGGATCAAAAGTTCAAGTGTCTCACTAGAGAGCCTCAGAACCATTCTTTAGTGCTGTCAAGTTGGTTCCAACTCATAGCAAACTCTGTTTAGTGTTTCCAAGGAGTCACTGGTGGGCTTGAACCACCTATCTTGTGGTTAGCAGTCTGGTGCTTGTCCCACAGCACCACACCAGGAGGCCAGAATCATTCTTAGGCTGATACAGTTTAAATCAGTCACTAAGACAAGGTAAGATTACTCAAGTCAACCACACGACCCAACTCCCAGGCTGCAGGCCTTGTGGAGGAAAGCTGCTCACACAGACACAAGGCCCTTGCTCACGCAGACTACACACAGCTCCAGGGAGATGGGCTGCCTCCTACTTGAAATACCCATTAACCTCCCAGGGACTGATGGTCTCTGTGCCAGCCACCATCTAGCTGCCCAGTCCTGGGCTGCTTCATGTAGAAATGTTGGTATAAGTACAGGAACTAATGCAGAGGACTGACAAGAAATACTTCAAAGAAAACAAACATTCCAGTGAGAACCATCTAATGGTTTTTGCTTTTGAGTCAGAGCCTTTACCCATCTCTGTTTTGGGATAAGGCAAGTAGGCGGGGGGGGGGGGGGGAGGGGGAGACAGGAGGCACTGCCCACAGTACCCACCCTGAGCTGAGTTAAGTGGAGTCACAAGTTGCCAGCGTTGGCAGTCCCACCCGAGGACACTCACCTGACGAGGTGCAGAATCTCCTGGCACTTGTCATTGTACTGCTGAAGCCAGGGCCTGAGCTGGCTGGGAGCAACCACTAATAAAGGGCACATCGGTTTCCCCAGGGAGGCCTGAAACAGAGGAGTCAGGAGTAACCAGTCCACTGCAGAACAGCTCAGTACAAAGGTTTGGAATGACAGAAGGGACGAGGATTACGTACAGACCGATGGAACTCAAAACACCAATACAATCAAGGATCACACTCACCAGAGCTCGTTCTCGCTGCAGCAGGATATTTAACAAGCCCTGGGACGTAAAAGGGAAACAGGTTAGCCAATCCCCAAACTCTGTTTCCTTCCTCATACAATTAGTTCTGGAGTCTTGATCTAATGAGAGTTCCTACTTTTCTACCAGCCACCCATCCCTCTGACATGGACACAGTGGGGTTTGGCCCGAAACGTTTACAAGCAGAAAGCAATGTGGTCCGTGACGGATAGGCAGGGAGACCTCGGGAAGGACCTGTCAGCAGATGCACCCTGACGGCTCACGTGAAGCCAAGTCTCTGAGCCTGAACCAAAGCTGCACGGCGACCTCATGGCCATGTGAGAAGGAGGCAAAACCAATGGCAGGCATGAAAACGAGCTGTTAACTGGGCAGAAAGACGACTGAGGAGAGGGAAAACTAAAGCGTAGGGAATGTTTCGGTCTAGGAGAAAATGGAGTCTGGCTCCAGGCTCTGGCCCAACACTCACCGTGTGGTGGTCTGCATGCAGGTGGGACACGAACACTGCAGCCAGTGTGCCTAGAACCCTGTCCACTTCATCACCGTAGTGACGGCACAACTGCCCAAACGTGCCTTCCCCACAGTCCAGTAGCAGGGATTGGTCAGAGCTATGGAGCAAGAGAGACAAACTGACCACCCACAGGAAAGGGCAGTGCTGACCTAGTGCTGCTGACAGTTCAGAGACGGGCAGGAGCCGCTGTGGGGATTTCTGTATCTTCCATAACCTCTCTCAGGCTCACTCTTCAAGAAACTGACATGAAAACCAATGATCCCACCGCAAAGGCAATTCCAGATGTCCATCCTCCTCCTGAGACAATTATCCGTAATGGGCCCTGACAACCCCTTACGGGACACACAACTATACAAATGCGGGTGGGAAGGGAGGGCAGAAGACATGGCTGGCTATGTAGTGGCTATAGCTAGGCCTCTCTGTTGGTAGCTTGGGAGATGGCCCCGTGCATACAGGCCTGTGCTCCAGTCCCTTGCGGGGAGCTCTCCCAGTTCATGGGCAGCAGGCCTGACTACATGCTGCCTGGGGCCACCCTGAGGGTGTCACTGCTGTTCTGATGCTCAGTCTGCCTCAGAACTCCTGCAGAAATGGGCACATCCCTCCCCAGACCTAGAGGGTGCCCTGAGACCCTTCACAGGGGTGTCTCAGAATACAGGGGGTGCCAGAGTGGGGAAAGCAAGCTGGCAACAGCTCTTGCAGATTCTTCCACAGGCCCTGGCTCTTCCCTGGGAGGCCAGCCCTGAGAGTTGGACCTCCATCCTGGTATTTCCGCGTCATCGGGACGCAGCTCACAGTCGCTATGCACACGCAATGCATCCAAGGTGACAAAACCAAATTTAAACACTAGCCTGGTACTTCACAATCTCACTGTGGTACCCTGTGCATTGCAGCAAAATGCCTTTATTAACCTCCAGATAAATGACACCAGACAGCACCCAATTAATCAATTCAACAGTGGGGCTAAATACAAAACAAGCGTGCAAAACCCCAAACCTTTTTAGTTTTTAAAACATACAAGGGACAAGCAATGTATGAATTAAGAGAAGCCAGTTCAAACTGGATCTGCCACTACTACCAGGTGTGGAACGTAGAGCAAGTAACCGCTCTGAACTGAGCATCGGTCCACTCAACGACAAATGGGGAGTGTTTCACTATTTCATAGGATTAGTGTGAAATTTCTTAGCAAGGTATCCAATGAGTAGCAGCTATTTTTAGTAAAAGACATAGTTGGCCACAATTGTTGGTGATCCCTAGAGATACAAGTTAGAGTCTGTAATATACATTAACAGCCCCGATTCCTCTTCTAGGAAACTCCAAATGCCAAGTTTATAGGTTCAAATCAGCCTGGTGGGTGAACCAGGATTTAGAAACAACAACCTTGCTCGCTCCCTGATGATTGCATGCTTTCTGGAAGAACAAAGAATACCTTATGTTGACAAGCGTGGAGCTGACGTTTCGGATCTTCATTGGGATGGCAGACCCTGTTCCGAGGAACACTATTTCTGGGTATTGGCTGCTTTTCTCTGTAAAAACACATGCAAAACAGCCCATTCCTTCTGGCTCAGAGTGAACTGGCTGTCAGCGACCAGATGGGTTTAGTACTTAAAGGCTGCTGGCAGTGTCCCAGGGAGGGGCGCTCTAGCTCCAGGGCCTGGAAAGTCCCCGGAGGTGGCCTGAGCAGGCTAGGACTCTCTCACAAGGCCTTCCTCTTCAGGATTAGGGCCAAGCGCTGTCTGGGGAGAACAAGTGAATTCTGCTGTGCTTTCTTATACCGAGTTGCTCAGTCTAATACATCTACATTTTCATACAGAGGAGGACATCTTCGTGAGGTGCTGTCTGTCTGCATAAAGTGCTGTACTTGGTATGAATCCTGCCAGCAGCCCTGCCAAGGAGGCAAGGTCTCATTTTATAGGTGAGAAAACAGGCTCCGAGAGCCTTCTCAAGCTGCAGATAAGATAAGGGCAGAGCCAGGACTCCAATTCAGCCACATGTGCTGCTTCCACAGGCTGCAGCCCTGTGGGCCCTCCCCCTACTTAAGTGGCCCCGTGGGCATGTTTGCCAGCACCCTGTGATCTCAACAGGCTTTCTGGGTACCACAGAAGAAATACACCGGGGGTGGGAGTTGAGGGGGAGACTTCCCACATCACCTGCAGGGAAACGGAACCACAAGGAGGTCGGGATTCAGCCACCACTGGGGGACGTGGAACACTGTCTGGCTCTGATTTCCAAACTGAAGTTTTGTGAGCTAGCTATCATTTGGCTGGATTAAACCCCCCAAGCCCACCTGCTATTCTGGTGGTGTCATTTCAGCACTGCTTGAAAATCACACTAGAAACAACACCGCTAATTGCTAAGGACTTTCCTAACAGGACCCTTGGAGCCCACCAAGGTGCACCTCACGAACGCCTGAGTGTCAGCACTCCTTGTTCAGTTCTTAGAGTCTGGGATCAGGGTCAGCGCCACCCCACCCCCTCCACATCACTCTGAAGGGCAGGACTAGCACAGAGGCACTGCCTTCAGTTAGCCAATCAGGATGGGGCATGCCTCTGAAGAGCACGGCAGAGGGCAGAACCGGGGAAGACAGGCTGTCAGTGGGCTCACGCTCACCTGCTGGGGCAGGGCCGTCATGCACGCTCTTCCTGTATTCCTGCACGCGCTCCTGAAAATCGGGGAGTTCCAGGGCCTCGGCGATGAACTCTTCCGGGTTGCAAGTAAGAAGAGCATCCCTGTGGGGAGACAACATCTCAGGTGACCAAGGTGCCTGCCAGGAGGTCTTCAAGTGAAACCAAGTTGGCTATTCTGAATGAACTCATGGAAACAATCTAGAGCAAGCAATACTGGAGCAACTCTGCTCTACTGCCTCTTGGAAACCTTCTCAGCTAAGCGGTGGGTTTCTGAACAAGTTCTGTATCGCTCTAACTCTTCAGAACATCTCACAGCCTCAAAGCTGGACAATAAGAGGGCAGTCTGGCTACTCGAGAGCAGGGGTTCTCAACCTTTGCACTGATGACACTGAGGCTAGATACCTGTTGGTGGTGGTGAGGGGGGTGTTCCTGTGCATTACAGGATGTTCAGCAGCACCCCTGGCTTCTAGTTACTAGACACCTAATAACACCTGTACCTCCAGATGCCAAATGTCCCTGAGGGCAAAGCCATCCAGTGTTGAGAAGTCAGGCCTGAGTGTGGCAGCTCTTAAAGTGCACGCTACTAATGACCTTGGAACTTCATTCAGGCGCAGTCAGGAGCTTTGGGGTGGGGCATGAGATTCAACGTTTCTAGCAAGCACCCAGAGAATGCAGGTCCTGCCCTCACTGAGCAGCCAGGCCCGGGACCCAGAGTCCTTCAACTTGTGAGCACTGAAGTCATCTGGGAGCTCACTAGCCCTCTCCACCCCGACCCCAACTCTCAAGATTCTGATCTAGCAAGTCTGGGGCAGGGCCTAAGAACTGTATTTTTACCAAGGACAAAGGGAATCTATATACTGCTAGGTTGCTAATCACCGCTTTCTGGAATAGCTTGTACAGATGCTGACAAAGGGACGCAGCCTTGTCATCCCGGATGGCATCTGTTGTTCCAAATCCTGCTACCACTCAAAGTCCTAACCATCCACACACAACAGCACACACAGCCAGCAGTGATGTGGAACATGGTCAGTTCTACTGAGACACAAGGGGGGCAGACAGGCCACTTCCAATTATTCCAGATTCTGCTCTTAAAAGAAACATGTGGACATTTTCTCATGCTACCGTTCGGAATATAAACTCGGAGAGCCTTTCTGAATGACAATCTACACTGATCCAGTGCGTTCAGAAGTTCCACTCTGACCTAATATACCCTAAGGCAACAGCGTTCCAGTCAGAACTTTACAGTAAAGACATATACTGTTTCAGAATAATAGAAAAGAAACAAAATAGAAAACTGGAAACCTCCCAAATGAGTAAACAGCCCTATGTGGAGTCTCAATAAAAACCTTGTTTCTGAAGACTATGTAACAATGTAGACAGAAACTTAATGATGTGTCAAGTTACAAACCCGAACATCCACATACACAAACCAAAAAACACGCCCCATCATTATTTGTGTCATGCATTTACTGTATGGTACAGCTTGCTTCTCCATGCTCTACTATAAAACAAGGAGCGTGTTGCTGCTGTTATGTGCTGTCCCTATTATTCATCAAGGAAGAGTTTTTGAGAAGGACAATCACTGGCCCTAGTAACCCCACCTCAACCTGGATGAGGGTCACTCTGTTGGTAAATCAGTCATGATGTTGTTGTTATTAAGTGCCGTTGAGTCGGTTCCAACACACAACGACCCTGTATAGAATTACTGAGAAGCGGCTGATGAGTTTGAACCACTGACCTTATGGCTCAAACCGACCTTCAGGTAGAGTGCTTATCCTACAGTGCCACACAGCACATCCATTTATGTAGGTGTTCTCTGTGGCTGCAATGGCACAGTTGGGAAGACGTGATAAGAGACCGCGTGGGGCCTACAAAGGCTAAACTATTTTCTATCCAGACCTGTGCAGAAAGTCTGCGGACCCCTGACCATACCCATTCCCCTGGTCCCCTGACACTGACCGTTGCCACTCCCTCCTGGGACGGAGCTGGTACTTGAGGAGACATTCGCCCCGCACAGCGGGCACGTGGAACGTAGCACTTTCTCCCTGGAAGAGACACACTCACACTTCATGGAGAGAAAGAAGGTGCAGCAGCTGGGCTGACCGGGCGGACCGGGCCACCTGTGACATTACCTGACAGCTGAGGTCGGAAAGTGGGGGGAAGATGTCGGGGTGGATGAGGTTGAGCTGTGTCTGAATCTTGTGGCTGCGGAGGTTGTGAACGGATGTGCAGTTCTCATTCAGGATCAGATGCTGGGTGTCGGGGCCAAACCTAGGAGAGAGACTGGAGGTTTGCAGCATGATCCATGGGACACTTCACCTAGTGGGCCACACTGGATATTAGGTGGTCACACAGTGCAACTGGTGCAAAATCAGTTACTAAATGACCACATACAATTTGACGCCTTTTCAAAACTGTGTGTTCTCTCCACATCTCAGCTACCCTTGTATTGGAAGTGTACTGGGAAAAAATTAGAAAAATGAAGCTGTCTGGGCCTACGGGTAGTGATTTGACAATGAAATACAGCAGAGTGAGGTGAGGGGAGAAGAGACATAGTAGACGGCGAGCAGATGATGGTGAAGCCCCAACCCTAAAGGATGAGACGAGAAGTATGAGCCAGCCATGACTGTGGGGAAAGATGAAGGGAGATGTCCCTCCCTCCTGACATTAGTCCTGGCCGATAGAGCCGAGAAGAAAAAAGAACAGCAAATGCTCTTTCCAACTTCCTGAGTTTTGCTAAGACACCTACCTCACGGGGCTGTTGGGAAGACTAAAGCAGTAAATTACTTCCTGACACCCAGCAGGCAGATATTCAATACAGTGAAGCTATGACAGTTTCCCAAGTCAAACCATCAACAAGAGAGCAGCTTGTGTTCAGACGCTGAGAGTGTGGAGCTAAGTGTACTCCGCCTCCCAGGGCTGGGATTTCCTCACAAGAGCCATATAGAGGAAGGGGAGTCAGCACCAGATTAAATACAGTGAGAAAGAAAAGCTATGGAGACAATTCACCACCCTGCTCCGTTGCCCTGGGAGAGCAACTGGGCTGGGCTCCGTACCTCTCCATCCACTGCTGGTATCTACTGTCCAAAAGCACACATTCTGGGGCCATGTGAACCACCAAGGCCACAGGGGCGTCAGCCTTCCCTTGGTACCTGCAAGGGAGAGTGGGGCTTTGCTTCAAGGAGCAGACACAGAACCTACACACGCAAGGTCTGTGCCAACCAGGAGGCATGCCAGTAGCCCTTAGGCCCAGCCACTGTCCCCGGGCTGCTCCCCACAGCCTGGGCACAGCTCACACAGTAAGGCCTTACTCTGTCCTTCCTGCCCGCCCTCCCTTCACAGGGGCCAGTGCATAAAGGCCCTCTCCTCGTCCCCCAGCTCTGTCCCTTTGATGTTCACAGACATTTCCCTCCAATACATCTCATGCAGTAACTTCACCTGGGCACCGGCCTGTCAGTACATGAGACATGGGTAGAAAAACTTGAGATCATCTTTAATCCTCCCACCCACCTCCCAGAGACCACTCCTTACCCCTTGAAGGCAGCATTGTCACAGATGGGCTGTATGAATCCTTCATCAGGACATTCGACCACAACAAAAGCCAGCCCAGGATCCGGAGGGGTACAGATCTCTTCAGGCAAAATCTGCAAGATTAAATACACTGACTCGGGTCACGGTACCATCCTAGGACAGAGTCATAATTCACGGGCAAATCAAGATGGCTTTTAACGAACTTGCTCCCATGACACAATCTAACTTCAGCGAACCTGAGCATACTCCACAGGGCACAAAGGCAGCTTTAAGGGTCACCTAACCCACATCCTGCAGCCCTTTCAGTAGATCGCAAACTAGCTTACAGAAGACCGCTCAGACCTCCAGTGGGGTTAGACAGACCATCTTGGCATTCATGACTCATTCTGGTCTGTGGCCACTGGCCTTGACCCCTTAGACGCCGCTGAGAAGACAGGCAGCACCCCTCTGAGCTGTGCACGCGTCCGTCCTTATGGGTCCATTGTTAGGAACTGCCCTGAGCTCAGGAACAAGGGGAAACAATCCAACTTTCTGGAAGAATGACCGGCAGACCCTGAATACAGACTCCACACAATTACTCAAAGCAGCCAGCGTTGATGTGCGGGAGACTTCTAGACTAAAGAGCTGCTCTACCACTCAGCCTAGTGACAGCCAGCCAAACCGTTCCAATGTCCCCAAACCACAGCACACCTGCGAAGTGTCCCGACTCTGCCTCTACCTACGGAAGCTCCAGGAATGAAAGCTAGACGCCTCACCTTTCTCCCTTCGTAAGTCACACTCTGCCCGTCCTTCACGGCAGCGATGATAGGAGCGATGGCAGCGGTGCCCCTGGGGTGGAAAGCAAGCGGCCTGTGAGATGAGGACTTTGTTGTGAGCAAAGGTACACCCACCCATGCCCTGGAAAGCCGCGCCTGACACTCACACCGGGAGGCCCAGCTCCTTTGCTTTGAGCACCAAGAAGTTTCCTTTCTTCAAGTGAAGCTGCAATGGAGACAATGTAAATGTGATGCCAGGCCGCTAGGGAGAAGTTGTGTTTTACTCACACTTCTTTGAAGTGTACTCTTGTATTTTTCCTAAATGATTTTTTTCTTAGCAGTTAAAAATGAAGATTGTTGCTTTCAGAGGGTACGTGATTCTGCAGAAGTGCTTTACTTTGAAACACTTTAGGACTAGCTGAATGAGTAAGGCACAGAGCGTCATTCCTCAACATTCACTTGTTATGAGTGTAATAAATGCAATCCACCTCCACATCAAAGTTATTTTATTAATAAGTAACTGTGCCCCATAGGGTTTTCTATGGATGACTTTTCAGAAACAGACAGCCAGGCCCTTCTTCTGACATGCCTCTGGGTGGACTCGAACCTCCAACCTTCTGGTTAGCAACCAGACACGTTAACCATTCACTGCATCCAGGGCCTCCCACATGGAATCAACTCGATGGCAACTGGCACTCTTCAAGAAGAACCCGATTCTGCCTTATCATTCTACCCCACCCATCAATTAATAGCTAAAGGAATATATTGATCAACTATTTGGCAATACAATACTGGTGCTTTTATCCTATGAGAAAAGTAGCAAAAAGAAAATTCCAATATGCTCTTATTAGAAGAGCAAACAACAATCCCACCACAAAACCTAAGAGTTATTATTCTATCCTCCCAAAGTTTCCAGCCAAACAGTTTTTAGTGTCCAGATGAGCACATGAGGGGGCTTCCCTAGTGTGCTCATATAGATAAAAAAACAACAGGAGTTTCCCACAAAATTTTTGAAGCCCTCTTGTATTTCACACACAACAAAAAAAATTAGAAATGCCATAAAATGTTAATAAGTCTTTGAGTGTTGAGATTTGAACTGATTCTCATTATATCTGTTAAATCTTTATAAATTATTTGCATTTTGGCTTAGATTCCTGAAGCTAGGAATTTACTCTTGGGTTAATGTCTCAAATTTGGATCTCAAAGTCTTTAAATCAGCATTATTTCTCAGGATTCTGGGTGTTTCCTGTTTGAAGATTCCTTAGCAGAAGGTTAGTGTGTGCACCCAACACAAAGACGGCAGAGATTAGTTGATGCCTTTGGATTAAAAACATCAGCAAGCACTGTCATGACCAAGCAGTCTCTCCATAGGCATAGCCAGGTTTGAGGAGAGAAACAACAGATTTCTGATGCTTAGCAGGAACTTGCAGATCTAAGCCAGGGGACTCCCATCCCTCCATTAAGAGCTGAATTCCATCAAAGGAGGTACATGCTCCCGTCTGTGGAATGCAAAGTACTTATTAGACGGTGAGAACCAGACTGTAAGGTCACCAGACCCTGAGCTGTCAGAAGTCTACACTCTTATCAAATGAGAGTCTGTCTCTGAAGTCCTCATGCACCGAGCCTGCTCTCCCCAACCTCCCACAGCTTCAACAGCTCAGCTTTCAGGCCTCCATTCCCACAGGAGACAAGCAGCAAATGGAGGCGACAGGGTCACCCAGTGACAGCAGCTCTCAGAAGTGGCAACTGATGGCTAGAGGCCAAGGTGCCAGGGCCAGCAGCAAGCAGCTACTCAGCATCAGAGCCAGCCAGCGCCCAGGAGCAGCTGTCTGGTAACAGGGCAACCGCCTGAGTATGTGAGAGAGAGCCCGCACCGCACCACACACAATTCATCACGTGTAACACAACTGATGGAGGAAGGCAGGAAGGATCTGGTACGATTTAAAGATGATAGGCAAAATAGGTTTAAAGAGCTATTTTACCATATAAAAACTCAGATACAAGTACATCCGTAAGGAGCCTGATGATAGGAAAGTTGAACATTTATGAGCATTTCTATAATTATTTAAATCAATGATCCAAGTGATGATGGCGGTGGTTGGTTCTGTAACTGACTACTACTTTTAGTGTTGACTTGTAATGTTGTATTCACTTGTGGGGGTAGAATCTAGATGAAAACTTCATATACATTTTTAAATCCATGTTATTTCTTACCAAAAAAACCCAACCAAACAAACAGGCCTACAAAAGGGCAACGCAGCACTCTCATCACAGGTTAGACAAACGCACCTGTGGCAGCCAAAGCCGGAGAATCAGAAGATTCTAATGCAATGTCCTATTAAAAATACGCCGTCAGGTTGTAAAACTCACTTGCTATAATCAATTCTTCACTAGAACTTGGCTGATTTCACAATGGCAACTCTAAATCTTCATGAATGCTAGCTAATACTAAAGCTAGTCCGACATCAGCATTGTAACAACTATAACGTGATTATCAAAACAGCGGAAGGAATCTGAATAAAGGCCTGGCTGATCTGAAGGGGAATAAGCAAAGCTGTGTCTAACTCTTCCTGAAATCCAGAGGGGCCAATCATCACCAAATAAAGAATAACATACGAGGGGGCTTCATACTCCATCATTTTAGAATTCCTTTTCCAGACTTTTCGAAGCCCCCTTGTATAAGTGGCCGGACTAGAAGAGAATTTGAAAGCGTATCAAAGTGCAGGTGACATTTTGAGAAATCAGTCTCTGTGCAGGTGATTCAGCAGCTGCGGTCCCCCAACTCCTGGGCAAGGGCTGGCCTGAGGCCATCGTTGTCCGAGCTCCTGGCATCACGGGCACAGACCCTTAGGCCCAACATGAAGGCTCTCTTACCTTACAGACAAAAGCTACCACCAAGGATGGGTCCCTGCCATCTGTTTTTTGGCTAACACCTGAAGACAAACAGATTTGGTTACCACACAGTCAGTGGGAAGTTTGCATAGAACTACCTTCATAGCTAGTTTTGTTAATTTGGAGTGGTAAAAAGTCCATGGAAAAACCTGAGATAGCTCAGTTGACTTTAAGCAAAACTTAGTGGAGGATGTAACCAAGGACAAAGAAGATACAAACATCCAGCAGAGCCTTTTTCCCCTCTATAGGTCCTGGACTATAGAGGGTAAGCACTGGACTGCTAACGGAAAGGTCAGCAATTCAAACCCACCAGCTGCACCGTGGAAACTCTATTCAGGGTTGCTATGAGTTGGGTCCTACCTGACGGCACTGAACAACAATAGATCCTAAGGGGAGCACGGTGGCTCTGTATGATAAGCACTACACTGAGAACCACAAGGTCAGCAGTTCGAGCCCACCAGCTGCTACACGGCAGAAAGATGAGGCTTTCTGCTCCCATAGAAATTTACAGCGTCAGAAACCCTATACAGGGTTGCTGTGAGTCGGAAATGACTTGGCACTTAACAACAGGTCCTTAGGTTGAGATCTGAGCAAAACACAAAACTCCAATCACAAACATTTGATAATGGCAAGTGAAGTTAAAAACAAATCTAAACCCATTTTACGTAAGAGCAAAGAAGGGAATATAATAAGCTCTAATGTGCTTAGAAGGTGCTCTGGTAGTGTAGTGGTTATGAATCGGGCTGTGAACCTCAAGGTCAGCAGTTCGAAACGACCCACTGTTCCGCGGGAGAAAGATGAGGCTTTCTGCTCCTGTAAAGATGCACAGCCTTGGAAACCCTGTACAGGGTCGCTGTGAGTTGGAACCGACTCCACGACACATAACAACAACAATGTGCTTACACAACCATCAGGACATGTGAGCGAGCATGGAAAAGAAAACAGGCCAGCAGAAAAAATATGAGTGTCACTCTCCCCTGCCCCTGTGTTAGCAAAAAAAAAAAAAGTAAAAAAAGCTTACAGAGGGCTGGCCTCTTCGTGGCTGTCAGACAGAGACAGACACACTGCTGGTCAGAGAGGGCCTGTGTGCTCTCCCAGCCTGAACAAGAGCGCCCTTAAGCAGTCTAGCCCCCGTGAGGTGGCCAATCTTGGCATTGGTCAGTCAGTCACTCAGGTTGCTTTTCTGGAATAAAAGGTGCTGATCCATTCACTGGCATGACTGTTTTGTCAGCTTAGCAGCTATGTTGTTGTTAAGTGCCATTGAGTCAGTTCTGACCCATAGCGACCCTGTATAGAGTTTCTGAGGAGCAGCTGGTGAGCTTGAACAACCAACCTTGCAGTTCAAACGGCTTTGCAGTCTGGCACGTTAACCTACAGAGGGTCTCATTAAAAGTGAAGTTTGCATGAATGAAAAGGGCAATTTGCCAGGATCTGCTCTCCTCAGGGCGAAAGTACCAAATGTGGGGGCTGCACAGGGCTGCATATTGGCCTGGAAAACACAGGTATTGCCATGGCCACTGCTGGAGAACGTTAGTGTATTCTCACTCTCCCCACAGAACAGGTCGGGGAGAGAGCGCTCACATGGAATTTCTTACCAGAATGCTCTGGGTTTAGAGCATTAATAGGAGGGAAGGAGAACAATTCAAGTCACTACCCCGTGTCCTGGGTGAAGTGCTGTTACCATCTGGAAGGGGCTGCTCGTTTTCAGTTGATCCAGCATTTGGTGACCGCCGTGGACTGAGCCTGCCGAGGGGTCTTTCTGGTCCCTGAGTTGGCTGGTGGTCTCTACACCTCTGTTCACCTGGTCAGTATAAGAAACAATGAAATGACTAACCACTCACAGTACACTCATAGCCAAAGCCCAGATGTTCCCACGTGCAGATGCCAGAAAACCAGTTACATTCAGTGAACTTCACTAGTAGAGTTCTGTGAGCAGGTACTGTGTCTTCAGGTTTCTGCAGATCTCAGAGCTGTGTCCACAGTAGAAACTCAACAGTGTTTGCTGACTACAAAGCATCCAGGCAGCAGGATAGTTTATTCCTTTTCACCATTCTAAATTAACACAACTAGCTATGAAGGTCATTTGTTGCTTTGAGAAGCATCCTATTTTGCAGTCAGTTATGTCTTGAAGTAAAAATACTAATAATTCAGTGCTCAGAAAAGCTGGTCTCAACAGAACCCCGGCTTGTGCCTCCACACCTGCTCGTTTACCTGGTGCCTACGGGGTACCTGGAAAACAACGAGCAGCAAAACCTAGTGCACGACACATTGACTCAAATGCAGATAATAATAAAGCTGACTGAGGCCATGGTGGGAAGAAAGGCTGCCATAAAGGACCAGGGGGCCCAGAGGCAGGGCTGCAGGGAGGTGAGAGCAAACACATGAGGTAGTGACCCGTCCTCTCATTGGGGCCAGCCACACCCTCATGGTCCTCCCACCCGAGGGCAGCCTAAGTCTCATCTCTAGGCAGGCTTGGGGTGTGCTCATCGATAATCCTTGGTAAACAGCATACTAGCTAGCACTGTCAATGAAAGGAGTCCATCCACAGAAAATGTTAGCCAGACTCAAGGACCGGTGTGCATTCTATCTCAGTCTAGAGGCCACAGGTGGTTCAGGGACGTGCGACTGTTGGTCTGAGTGCCTGACCCTAACTTCTTTTGGGACAGACACTGGTATCCAGAGTTCACGTTCTCCTGTGTACATCTCGCTTAGGCCTCTCATCAGAGGAAGGTACTTACATCAGTGAACATACACTCCAAGCAGTGAATGTGCAAACCAGAGCGCGGTCCCCTTTCTGACAGTCTGCGACATGTGAGCATTCTAAGTATCAGCACTGTTGCTATACGAGGGGGCTTCCACAAGTTCATGGAAAACTGAGTGAAACAATAATGGACTTTTCCCACTGACTTGTTGAAGCCCCCTCGTAAAGGGGCTAAATGTGTCTGTCCAGAGAACCATATTTCAACCCCTCTGCTCACTTCCCTAATCATGCTTAAACAGGGTGCGCGAGGCTAATATTCAAACAAACGGTTTCTATCTTCACCCACGTCTTCCTTTGCTACGACCTAAGACTTATCTACATTAGGCAAATCTGATGCACAAGACCTTTTTAAAGTGTTGAAGAGCAAAAGATGTCAGCTTGAGGACTAAGGTGCGCCTGACCCAAGCCATGGTATTTTCAATAACCTCATATGCATGCGAAAGCTGGACAGTGAAGGCTGCCCATAGAACCAACAGATCTGTGTTGGAAGAAGTACAGCCAGTGTTCCTTG